TTTTTTTTTTTTGGTACAATGAGAGGCAAACGACTACAAGACTCTAGATAACAATTTTCTTGGGATAAGACACATCAGTCAGATCATGGTATAGCCAAATGTCAGCCTCCGACAAGGGGTTGGCCAAACAAAACAAACCACCGGGATCCTTCGCCGCGAGTGATGCCAAATAATCTGCAACAAAGTTTGCTTCCCTATACACATGAATGATTACCACATACCAAGGACGACCTAACAGCTCCTGAATCCCATGCAACACACTCCCATGCGGTCTGCTATATTGAGCATCCTTAAGCATCGGAATGATGCTCTTGTTATCAACTGTAATAATTGAGTGTAAATTGTATCAATTATTCATACATTATAATTTTTTTAGGAGTAGAGCTGTACATGTGAATTATTGTATAATTGAGAGTGCAGCTGTACATGTGAATTATTGTATCAATAATTCATACCTTATAATTGAAAGTGGAGCTGTACATGTGTATGCATCATCTGGAGGTATCAATATTTACCAATCTATCCCTATAAATTCATGGTCTAATGCAAGAGGAAAGAAGACAGAAGAAATAGAAAAGAAAGTGAGAAAAGAAGACGGCAGGGAAGAAAAGAAAAGAAAAAGGGAGAAGGAGAGAGGAAAAAAAATAAAAAAAAAAAAAAAAAAAAAAAAAAAAAAAAAAAAAAAAAAAAAAAAAAAAAAAAAAAAAAAAAAAAAAAAAAAAAAAAAATTACGATTCTCCTGAAAGAAAGAGGAAGGAAGAAAAAAAATAAAAAAAATAAAAATAAAATAAAATAAAATAAAATAAAATAAATATTTTATTTGTTTTATTATATTCCTTTTATTTAAAGTGCTCAATTCTCGATTCTGTTCCCGTTCGCCGGAGCTCGTAAATCTGGTGTGCTACAGATTTAGAGACGTTTGCCGTTGTATCTTTGGGAAAGTTACGCCTGAACTGTTAGCTGCCACACGGGGCGTATTCTTCTTGCGGAAAGAGTGTTACTCGCCTCGGCTAAAATCTTTCCGTTTTTACAGTTGTAATTTATTTTTCAGTTCAATTGTAATTTTCTATTTTAGATTATTTGTAAGAACTGAAAATACATATCAGTTCGTAGGATTTCCCGTGTAATTTCACACCGTAAAATATCCAACATCAACCTCAACTGTAATCTTCTTAGCCCCAATGTCTCAAGCCAACTGAAGTCCTTGGAACAAATTGAGATGTAATTTTGGTCATGTAAGTTTCAAAATTAATAAATCTACTACTCTAATAATAGCGTTTTAGAAATTGTTTCGTATGTACACAAAAATATTGCAATTTCATCCTTGTCCAACCAAAAACTTAAAAAAAAAGTCATATTTGTACACATATCATCCAACCGGAGTAACACGCGTATAAGCCAAAATTGCTTATTTAGAGCACGTGTGGATTTTCATATTTTCCAAGTAATTTATTTCAATAAATCTTAAAGATATATTTCTTTTATTCTCATTTTCTTTCTTACACCGTCATCCACCAGACCACCATTGTTTGCGTCAAAAATCGAGCCTCAACTTTATTCTCCTCCACGTGTGCCAATTTTCTCGCTAGGGCATCGCAGTCGGCACAAGCCTCGATGAAATCAAAGTTGATTGGATATGAATCCAAGATGTTGTCGCCGCTTTGCCATCAGCAGCGCAGGTGCCGCCACCACATTCTACCGGAATATACATTCGAACGCACCGAGTACGCTACTCTCATGATCCACAAATTTGTTGTTGCTGGAAAAATAACCATGGTCGACATGATTATTTTTTTATTGAAGCAAACATCCTTCTTGCAGCCAATTAGAGTCTTCCATTTTAGGTTTTTCGATTTGAGGGTTTCCTAATATTGGGTTTGGGAGTGTGTTGTGCAAACGATCTCGACTAGGTTCACATGACCTGGATCTGCTCTCTGACCTATTCGTAGACCTGCAAAACTGAGAGGAGTTTCGGACATTAGCATTCCGACGATCAAGTCAATTCACAGATGAAAAGACAATGAAAAGTTATGGAAAACTCTGTATGTAGAGCATGTAGAGAATATAATGTTGTAATGGACATACTTCATCCCTTTGTATAGTTGTTTTACTTTGTTGCCCAAGACTGCCTGGATGAGTGAGGTATGTCCACTACAACATTACATTCTCTACACACTCTACATACAAAGTTTTCCTTATCGTTCCTTGTCTTCTTCATCTATGAACTGAATTAATCATCAACTTGCTAACGTCGGGAATCCATCCCAGCCCATTTTGCAGGTCTACTAACAGGTCAGAGAGCATATCCAAGTCGTGTGAACCCGGTCGAGGTCGTTTGCACAACAAAGGGCTTGTGGTTGTGGTGGTGCGGTGCTACAATCGACTCAAATTGGTTGCTGTGATTCGACAACGAGTTTTTTGGTAACGAAGTTTTTTTCGTCATCACTTAAGCTCGACGAACTCTGACGGCTTTGCGTATAGACTAGGTGGGGGATGGGGGTTATCGAAAGACTTACATCCTCGTTTTTTAAGTGAGAGGAAAAACACATTAAATTAATTATTTTATAATTTTATTATATATGAAGATAGATGAAATTATTTTATAGTTTACATTTGCAATATGAATGTCAAATAAAAAATTCGTTAAACTATGATTATTTTAATATATCATACATAAGAAAATAAATACAATAAAAAAGTTATAATGTTTTAAATATAAAAAAGAATACTAATTTACGATAAATAGTATATGAATTAAATAAGAAAAATAAGAATGATATATGGTAGCTTAAGAAAAAATGAAAGCTATAATAGTTTATGGTAATTTCAAAGCTTAATAGTCAACACCAAGCTTTTATATTTGTAACTACGAAGTACAAATTTATGACAAATAAACTTACGAAGTACCATGGTTTTAAATAGCGCGCTATAGCGCCGCTATAGCGGCTTAGATCAGCTAACGCCAAGCTATTGTTGTTTTTGCCGCTATTCGCGCTATTTGGCGCTATAGCGGCGCTATTTGACGCTATATAGCGTCAAATAGCGCCGCTATAACGCCAAATAGCGCGAATAGCACGAATAGCGCGAATAGCGGCAAAAACAGCCTGGCGCTACTATGCCATAGCGGCGCTATAGCGCGGCCATAGCGGCGCTATAGCGTCGCTATAGCGTCGAATAGCGGCCAAAAATGCCCGATGCTATTTTTCATAGCCCGCGATCAAAAACCATGCGAAGTACACAAGTCTGTTATTTAAGCTCAGCACATTCGATAATTAATTATGTATAAGAGCGATTGTTACTTTCAAATCGCTAGGCTTTAAGTTTAGAAACCGTGTGTTGTCTAATTTCAAATCGCTAGGCTTTAAGTTTAGAAACCGTGTGTTGTCAATAATTATATCTCCATAGTCAACCCAATTTAAATATAAACCATTTTATATATAATAACGGAAATGTGATTGACCAAGTCATATAATCATTAACTTTTGAAAAATTATATGTGAATAGTATAGCAACCAATTTAAAACATTGTATTGGGTTTTAATTTTCTCCCTCGGACGCTCTCCCACTTGGGATTTAATGGACCCAATATCTTTTTTATTTTTATTTTTTATTTTTTTTTATTTTAGCAGTGAATATTTTATTGATATTGATATCACATTTAGTTGGCCGCTTTCATTTTACTTCAAATTAATCAAGTTGATAGAAATGCAATAGAAAATTTTAAAATTGAGACAAAAAATTGCCTTTCCAATTTAATCGTTACGAGAGAGAACACCCACAATGCTTTGGGTCTCTTAAATAAAAATCAAGTGTCATATCTAAACAAAAATCAAGTGTCATATAAGAAACAGACTAAATCTATAAAAAAAGATAATCCTGCAATAAAAAATAGACATGGTCTAGCTTATGTAGCACTAGAAAAAGGAGATCAAGCTCATCTTTGGGTATATTTTGGACCCAAGTACAAACTTGCCTAATCATCAAATTTTCACAATTTTATTTTTTTTAATAGGCAAAACATATTCTTTTGTATGCATTTATTATATGATATTTTTATTGGTTGTTGGGTATATTAGACCGAGTACTTAACGGTTATTTGTGTTTATGAGTATACTCATGCATCTATTTTTTGAGTGTGAAAGAGCTCACAAAAAATCTGGAAGTTAGTTGCTGTTAGATGGGATTCTTCTATGCTTAATACTTATCAATTTAAGATTTGGCGGGGAAATATTTGTAATGCCAAAAAAGGAGATTGTTGGGAGGATAGAATAGAGCTCACAGTTTACATGTGTACGGTGGATGTGGAAAACTCGAAATTGTTGGGTTTTTGAGAATAAAAAATCATAGAAAAGGATATTCCTGATAAAGCTAAAGAGGATTGACCTTTGGAAAGAAGTTACAGAATTTTATTTGAAGATATATGTGCTTTAAAATTCCTCTTTAGTTATGTTTCTTTCCATTTTGTAGCTCAAGATGATTGGATAGATCAATGTGCTTGTTTAGCTTTGAATGCGGTGGTGA